GGTTTGGCATTTGGTGGGCTCGAACATGGGTTGTGAGAGGGCGAGCGTGGTGATGGCGCCGGCGACGATATATGCGATCTCGGCCATTCTTTTTGCAATCATTGCTTTTCGCGTTCCGAGATATGAACCTTATCGAATCCAGCGGCGAGTGTGTGAAGGAGGAGAGCCGTTCCGTCTAGATGGGAATCAATTTCGCGAGTGTATGGACCAGTGGTGCAGAGTCACGTCGAACTGGACGCAGGTGTGCAAAGCAAGGTGGAAGCCGGCGAAAGGGATCAACGGGTATAGTTTGGTCTATTACGACCCCAAGTACAACAGGCAGTACTTGTCCCGATCCTCGAGGCAGGATCTCTCCAGTGTGCGGCTGTGCTTCCTCTCCGCTGTGTTGCTCCTCGTGGGCGGCATTTTGCAGTGCAACCTCTGGTTGAAGCTGGAAGGGTCGATGGCATGTGGGTGCAAGCCTATACACTCTGGAACGCCGTCGGAATGGGTGCCGCGATTTCTTGTGTAAGTACCTTACGAGCTTCCCCCCCCCCCCCTCGTTCTCTGTCAGTTCATCATTTTTTTATTTTTTTTTAAAAATTTATTATCAGTTAGTTCATCATTCTATATATCCTACTTTGCCCTTCTCTTGCTTCATATGTCTTTCTCTCTGTCTCTCTCTATCTTTTCCCTTTGCTCTCTCTCCCTCTCTTTTTACTTATTTATCTATTTGCCTCTCTGCCTCTCTCTCTCTCTCTCTCTCTCCCTCTCTCTCTCTCTCCGTGAAGTATATTATATAGGTTGGTCTCCTCTCCGCTTGCGAATGGTCTACACTCGACGCGGATCGCGGTCTGTTTGCTCTGTCCATCTGGCGACAAGGGACCTCAGCTGCAGCCCCCTTCACTGCCCGTCGGATTGTCGTTTATTTCTGCAATCTTTCTCGTCTACGTCTTTCTTTCTCTCTCCTTTCCCCCCCCCCTCTCCCCCCCAAATCCCCACTCTCCGCTCCCTTTTCTTGCGATTTTCTCTTACCATGAAAATCGAGTGTCTTTGAATTGAACCTGGGGATTAGCAGTTCCAGATGCGTGTCGTTTAATTCAGCAGCCAGGCGGGCTGTGGCCAGGCATTAAGTTAATCGACGGTCGACGAACTGGCACTAAGAGCTATCGAGTGAACGAAAAATGATGGTCGAGTAAATGGAAGAAATTCAAATTATCGATGGGGAAGTAAAGCGAAAAGGAGTAAAAACTCTCTCTCTCTCTCTCTAGCAACGAGGTGGAGAATCCATCGGTATCCGATGTCAGAACGGACCTGGACGTGCAGACGGCCAGGTGCATGATCAGGAAGTCTCCCTCCCATCAATAAAGAATTAATAAAGAATTAATAAAGAATTAATAAAGAATTAATAAAGAATTAATAAAGAACGGACAAAACTCAAAAAATGTATGAAACAAATCAAGGGACGCGCGCTGTAGCGACAGGCCGGTGGTCAGGGGAGACAGAGATACTTACTGTATCCGGACTTGATTTAATTAAGGCGCGCATTGATAGAGTAGGCTGTGCATTCCTCCCCGATCTACGGTGCCACGATTATTAATTACTGTAGTAATTTTTATTGCTTTTACCGTATGTCTGACCTTTTTTACTTCGTTTTGCACCTTGCGGTCTATTCTTATATCCCGTCTTTTCGCGTATTGCCTGATCTCTCCGTAATTGTTTGACAATAGACTGTTTCACGCTGCTCTGCTGATGACAACCCTGACTGATGAGAACGAACGATGATGACGAGAGTTTGGCGATGATAATGATGGGAAGACGGTGATGATGTTTGCTGACGATAATGCTGGCAATGATGGTGCCAACGACGATGGGGATGATTATGATTGTTGATGATGACGATGGGGATGATGATGGCCATGATGGTGCCAACGACGATGACGACGATGATGATCACGATCTTGATGATTATCATGATGATTATGATGATGATGATGATGATGATGATGGATAGTTCGCGAGGATATGACCGTCTCTTCTCTCTCTCTCTCTCTCTATCTATCTCTAGATGCTGCTAATGTCATTCATATCAGCAAATTTACCCCTCTCTGCTTCTTGCTCGACGCAACACCTCTTTACTGGTATTACTAGTAATCTGAGCTGATGAAGACTACTGTAGTCTTCCCCCAAATACAACGTATACGGTCATTATAGCTGAATTTAGACTGAAAGATACACCAAATCAGCTATAATAACCGTAAACGTTGTATTTGGGGGAAGACTGTAGTATATAGTTATAGTACAGTTTCTTTGCTACTTGCTGTTTCACTTCATTCTGATGTGCGGGACTGTGCGCTGGATCGGAATTGTTCGAACTATCCACATCCCCCTTCTACCGGTCCGCCTTGCATGCCCCTTCTACCGGTCCGCCAATCGCCCAACCCCCTTATCTAGCTCCTGCCAAGAGGGGTCGTGGTGATGATAGGTCGCTGGTCCGCCTTGCATGCCTTTTTAGGTTTCTGAGCCGCTGCAGCCTGCACCGCTGGAATGCTTGCTGGGCGTGCTCTTCTCTTGCCGTAGCTGGTGCTCTGCGGATGCTTTTTTTTTTTTTTTTTTTTTTTTTTTCGGGTCATTGTTTTCGCTTGCATGAGTGAAATCGTGCTGAACGGACCGCGTTGGAATTGTTTTGTATCGAGGGCGATCTTCACGTGAAACAATTAAGGATTTAAAAAAAAAAAAAGATGATTAGTTTTAGTACGTGGCGCTGGGAAGACATTACGGCTGTGATTCCATACTGCTGTGATTTCGTACGGCTGTGATTTCGTACGGTACTTGTGTCTTTTTTTTTTTTTTTCTTGAAAACAAGCTCCATCTATTGGTGGGGAGCAGCACCTGCTGGAAACCGGGTCCTTATGTCGATGAGGTAGATGGGGTGTTATAGGGCACACGAGCAGCCTGCCTCGTCACCTCGTGGCGTGAGTATGCATTCTGTTGGAATTGTGTCTATAATAACTTCATCCACGTGAGAAATGAATTGCGTCCAAATTGATTCCCCACCAATTAGCCCCCCGGGGCGAGATCCTACCCGCAGAGACCACTGGATGAAGCGTCTGAATTTGGATGTGTTTCAGGCAGAGATGCAGAAAAGCAGATCAATCGCCATTTCCTTGTCCCTCTCCTCAGAGACGTCCAGACTCGGGCGTTAAATCAAATCGTCTTTGCAAGTGGGACCCCCCTCGGCCCAGGCGTGAGTGAGCGAGCATTCCCTCCCTCGTCACCCCCTTCCCACTTCCACCGTCTTCCTTCTTTTTTTTTTTTTTTTTTTGGGAAAATTTTCGAAATGCGCCTGGAGTTTGCATTAATTTGCGATTTGCCCCTCCGACGGCTGACTTACCCTGATTTGCCCCTGGGCCTCTGGGCTTTCGAACAGGCCCCTGTCAGTGAGGGGCGCGACTTCTTGGAATGCCCCTACTGGACCGGCGGTCCTATTTCCCCGGTTGCCTGTCCGATTTGCCCTTCTGTGGGGGATGCATCTTCCTGAGATGCCCTCCAGGGGGGAGGTGCTAAGAATTTGAATTCTAACCCCATACTTTTCCAAGTCCCCGCGCAAAAGAAAAAGGCTGCACACCATGTTGTGTCCGCTGCTGCAATCCACCGTGTAGTGCATTCTTTAGCCACTGCGACCCGCCGCCGCCTTGGACGTCCGTGGAGTACGCTGGCTAAGGAGTTTTCCTCCCCTTGTTTCACGCCTCTCTCTCTCTCTCTCTCTCTCTCTCTCACACACACACACACACACACACACACACACGCGTGGAAGTGTATAGTGTATATTTCCATGTTCTAGCGGTATATTCATTCGATCTTGAGACCTTCCTGTTCTCTCTCTCTCTCTCTCTCTCTCTCTCTCTCTCTCTCTCTCNGTATATTTCCATGTTCTAGCGGTATATTCATTCGATCTTGAGACCTTCCTGTTCTCTCTCTCTCTCTCTCTCTCTCTCTCTCTCTCTCTCTCTCTCACACACACACACACACACACACACACACACACACAACCTACAGTCTGGCACAGTCATGACTTTTTTCAGTGTATAGCGAATATGACAACACACAAAGCCCGGGTAGCACATCTCCCAGGAGTCCCAGCCTCTCAGGGCCAGGGGAACAGCCGTTGCTACTGCCAGCAACGACCAGAAGGGCACACCTAAGAGATGTACCGTACCGGTAGGAGCATACGGAAAATTCTTGTGCCTGTACTGAACGGCTATCCGGTAGGGGCAAACTGGAAATTTGGCGCGGGTACCTGTAGGGGCATATTGAAAATGTCTCAGGCCCAAACGACGCCAGGGTTTTTTTGGAAACTTCAATGACTGTCAGAGGGGCAAATCAGGGTAAGTCGGCCGTCAGAGGGGTAAATCACAAATAAACGCAAACTTCAGGGGCATTTCAAAAATTTTCCCTTTTTTTTTTTTTCAGAAGAAAATCAATCTTTATTAACATCAAGCCGGGGCCGTGGTCCCACTGGCGAAGGGGATAGGATAGAAATCCTGAATCTGGCTATGTTTTATGCAGAGATACAGAAAAGCAGTTCTATCTCGATTTACTGCTCCTGTCCTCAAACACGTCCAGATTCAGGCATTCAATCCGATGCTCTTTGCTAATGGGACCACGGCCCGGTAAACGGGCCCGGCGTCCCTTACAAAAAATCGCCGTAGCCCTGAATTCGAACGTTAGTGGACCATGCACCTGCAGCAATTTTCAGGCCAGATGCATGAATAGACTGCGAAGTTTCCGGTAATCTTACGGCGAGATCCCACTGGCAAAGACGATTGTAGTAAGTGTCTGAATGTGGACGTGATTGTGGACAGGTGCACAAATTCGTGATTGATGTACTTTTCTGCATCCCTGTGTGGAACACGTCCAGATTCAGACTCTTATTCCGATCCGCTTTGCCAGTGGGATCTGGCCCTTATTCGGACAGGGGAAGTCGGTCAGGGGGAGCAACTTCTTCAGGCTAAGTAAGGGCCAGATACCACTGGCAAAGAGGATTGGAATAAGCCTCTGAATCTGGACGTGTTGTGGAGAGGTGCAAAAGATTGTGACTGATCTGCTTTTCTGCATCTGTGTGTGGAACACGTTCAGATTCGGCCACTTATTCCAATCCTCTTTGCCAGTGGGATCTGGACCTAAATATCTTCCACTAGTCCAAAAAAAAAA